TGATGTGATGTAAAAGCCCAAAGAAAGAAGAGGGGAAGGAAGATAAAAAAGAGAAAGGGAGAGAAAGAGTGAAAAAGAGAAAAGATAAAAGAGAAAAATAAATTATGTATGGATTGCTCTTTGTGAAGAACCAAGAGGAAAATTCAATCCATAGTACAGGTTGGAGTATGTATCTTTTTCCCCCCTTGAGCTAAGGAAAGTTTAATGATGTTGCATACTGTAAACCTCTCACTGATGCATTGTTTTATATTTTTTAAACTTATGTTTTCTATCTGTACTCAGGTTTAACAAGTTTATCATCTACTCTATTCTCACATTAACTACCTATTTTCTTTCATTTCTTCTAATTTTTCTGCAGACTCCAGTGATCTTTTCTGTTTTTAGAATTCTCAAATTTTACAAGAGCTGGTGAGGTCATTCATAGGTCAGTCAATATCTACTAAGCCTAGGATTTGAAAAAAATACAAATATTAAAAATGTCTTGGAGAGAAATGCTAAATGTTTTAATTTATTTGCTTAATTTTAAAGCATCATATTTTGCATAGCATTTCCATAAATTTTCATGTTGAATATGGTTTTCAACACTAGGTGTGTAATAATAAATTAAGCAAACAAGCTGTGTAGCCTATTTAGTTATATTTGAATAAAATCTTTAAAATTTCAAACAACTATAGAAGACAGTGTGATTGCTAACAAGGGAAGAAAAAAAGCAATACTTCCACACTGCTTATTCTTTATATTACAGTATATTATAAACTAATATATTATTTTTATTAATATACAAGCACTGTTACAAGTCTGCTTCATATATTAATACATTTGGTTCCTAAATAACTTTACAAAATAGGTCTATGAATATCATTCTTCTTTTTGTAGATGCAGACACTGAGGTGCAAAGAGATTAAGGAATAGCTAGGACATACTAGACTACTGTTCAAGGCCAGGTACCCTGGCTGGGGAAGGAAGTTAACCAGTTAACTCTAAGCATGGCCTGGGGTGTACATCAACCAAGAATTAGAAAGGTTATAATAATATATTAAATAATATAATGAATAATACTCATAGTTAATCTTCACTAATAGTTAATCTTCAGTATGCATTAAGAAAGTGATATGCTTTCATGGATTGTTTTACATGCACCTACTACCTCCTTGAAGTTTGCTGTTAGTAACAACTTTACAGATTGGGATGTTGAATCATACATGTGGTCAATAGCTTGGCCAAGGTCATGTGGAAAGCAAGAGTAGAACTGGGACTTATACCAGGCAGCATGATACCCAATACCATTTTACAATTGTTACACAAGACTGCCTCCTATTTAATTACTGCTTCTTTCATTTTTTTGTTTCTTTCCTGCCCCAAATCTTCCCAATATTCTCCCTTTTCTTTGGCTTGACCTGAGTAAATACTGACATATTCATTTTAGTTGAAATGTTATGGTCTTTGGGTAGACCGTCTACCTGCCCACATTTTGAGGAACAGCCTCTGTTTCCATGATTACCATACACTTTTTTTTCTAGGTATACTTATATTTTTGTAGCTGTCCTGGAATGTGAAGGGTGCTCTAGTACTTTGTGAGTGTCTGACAATTTCCTCTTGGGTTTATTTGTTCAAATTTCTTTTCACCTTTGCCTGGGTGTCTCTCATACCTTGACCTCTGGAGACCTCCCACTTCTTTTCAGGACCTTTTGGTGGGATGAATTGTGTCCTCCCTTGGGTCCTCGATAGCTCCTATGAAGTTGTTGTGAGACTTTCCCACCTGCCAATGGTTTGTGTAGAGATTATTTATAAGTATTGTGTTTTCTCTTTGGTTCAGATGGTACCAGATTTCCTTTCTATTCCCATAGTACCTAACACAGGAAAAGCTCAAAAACAAGGGGTGGTTGAATTTAATTCAACTTCAAATTCAATAAGATTACAAAATAAATGTGGAATGGGGATCTAAGGCTATTAAGCTGGGAGTGAAATTATTAAGGAGGAGTTGATATTGAATATCCTAAGTGCTGCCAGCCAGATTCTGTGCTGCTCCAGAAAGCATAATTCAAACTAGGAGGCAAGAGTTGGAAGAGGATTTGTACTAGTTTGAGAAATAACTTTCTAACAATAAACATCTAGCAACAGAACATGTTGCCTTGAGAACAATCATGGGTTCCTGTATTGGTCAGGGTGCTCTACAGGAAAAGAATCAATAGATGCAGAAACAAAAATAGAGATAGAAGTGCATATATAAATACAGTTGTGAAAGGGAACTCTTTACATAGGCTTACAGGATCAGAGTTGGAAATGGCTGTTTGCATGCTGGAGAATAAGAAGACCAAGCAGCTGTTCAACCTCAGAAGCTGAGAGTCTCAGAATAGCAAGAAACAAGGATGCTGCCCTAGTCCAAGACCAAAGGCCAGCAAGTTCCTGGAGAGTCTCTGGTGTGAGTTCACATTGAAAGGCTGACTAAGCTGGAGTTTGCTGTCCACTGACGCAGAATGGAGCTTTTCAAATTAGCTTCTTCTGGGCTGCAATCCTATTGGACGGTGCATCCACAATCAGGGCGGGTCTTCCCCCTCAGTTCACTGACCTGGATGCCAATAATCTCTGGAGACCCCCCACAGACATACCTAGGAGTGTGCTTCACTAATCTGCTAGGCATCTCAATTCAGTCAAGTTCAGTCACAATTCATGGTCACAGTTCCCCATCAAATGCCGGCTGCACAAGCTGTCACACTGCACCAAGAAAAGATATTTGAGGAAATGACTTTCCTCCATGCACAGGGACATAGACTCAGACTATCTCTTAGGGGCGACCAGACTTTGAAGATTCTGGGTGTATAATTTTTAAAAAGTTAAAAACACAACTTCTATACATATATAGAATGAAGTGTCAAGATTTTATTCAACTTTCTGATGAAGGAACAGTAAAGAGGTAGAACAAATTCAAATGAATGTTAGAGGAGTAAGAATGATTTCTACTAGAAAAGACACTCATGTTTGCTGAGTTTGAAACAAAAGTGATTAAGGTCCTGCAGGGCAATAAATTTGCAACCTTTGGGGTTTTCGTTTGTACTAGAAAGAAATTATTTACTTCTCTCCTGGACAAGGTTCACAAATTAATACAGAACTCCATAGAAACTGGGCACTTATCTAAAATAGCAGAAAAAAGTCTGCTTAAAAAAAAACCCCTTTTAACACTTGGGTGAACCTATTAAACAATGTCCTAGAGTATTAGCGGCTTAGAGCTGCAGTATCAGATCACCACAAGCTGGGTTATTTACAATAGCAGACATTTATTCTCTCAAGAGGATAAAAGTCTAAAATCAAGGTGTTGGCAAGATCAGCTTCCTCCTGGAAACTTAGAAAGAGAATAAGCTCCTTGACTCCTTAGCTTCTTGTAGTTTTGACCCTCCTGGGTATTCTGTAACCTTTGCTTCTGTTACCACATGGAGTTCCTCTCCATATCTTTGTTGGTTTCTATGTCTTTCCCTTTTATAAAGATGCAGTCATTGGATTTAGGGCCCATTGTTCCAGCATGGCCTCATCTAATTGCATATGCACACCCCTCCTTCTCTGAGGACAGTTAGGGAGAAACAGGCAGCATAGGGCCTTACCTGGGTGGCGATTGTAGTAGATATAACCACATGCTTACTCATGCTGTGACATACGGGAGGAGGCTGCCATTTGTGGAAACTTTGCATTCTTTTGCTATGTGCCCACAGATCCTATGAACCTCGGCTCACCCCAAAAACATAGGCTAAGACTGTTTGTACCAACCAGTGAAACAGTTGTTTTTAGAAAATCAGCATTGGGAGGATACTTTACTGGCTGGACCCCCACTCTGGGCGATAAGGAACTCGGGTCTGTGGAGGATTGAGTACAGCCTCTGACCATCAAGGCGGAGACTTGAATTTTACCCTCATGGCTTAGTGGCGGATCTGCTTAGGTGCTGGAACACCTATGCTAAGAGGATATTCTTCAGGCCAGGTTGGAGTCAGTGCCCACGGTACAGGAGGGGCTCAGGAGTCCTGGCGTATCTCCAGACATTCTTTGTGCCCAGAAACCTTGAGCTGTGACTTCTTTCTGGACTGTTGCTGCTCTATATCTCACAAAGAAAAAAAAATTACAGATTGTTTCTAAAGCAGGCTGCCCTCCTCAAAGTTTGTCACTTTTAATCCTGTAGACTTTTCATGACAACTCCAAAATTATATTGATTCACCTTTTCTGTCATAAAAGAGAACCACCAATAGGAAACATAAAGCCCTGATAAGATGAACTGGTTTCTGCTCTCCTTTGGTTATTATATTAGTTAGAAAAAATATTTAAATGGTCCAAATCTCTTCTCTTATTGGTCTACTGTTGATACTGTGTGACTTTGAATTCCCACACTCTGAGTTCATTATAGTCATTCCAACAGAGAAAAAATCTTAACTCTCCAGCAATTAATCATTTTGTCCCTTCTTAAGCCTCTTAAACAGAGAGCCTTTTGGGAATGTTTGCACATCAGCAATGGCTTAAACAAGGCTGCCAGAGTCATAGGTGAAACCACTATAGACCCCATGTTTGTTAGTTTGTTGAGAGAGAATCTTGCTAAGTTGCCCAGGCTGGCCTTGAACTCACAATCCTCCTGGCTTAGCCTCCTAAGTGGCTGGGATTACAGATGTGTACTGCAGCACTGACCTAAAAACTCTTCTTCCAGATAAGATCGCATCTGAAGGTTCTGGGGAGAACATCAACCTTTGGAAGAGAAGATACTGTTCAAATCGGTACAGGCAGTGAAACAGAAAAATAATACCACATAGTTTTTGGTATTATTGTCAAGTTTTAAATAGTTTTCTTGCCTCAAGCAGTCATTTGCTTTCCAGTCATTTCCTCTCTTTCCACTGATGCTCATGTTAGTTATCTGGCTGGAGCTTGCTTTATACTTGATGATGTAACACAAAGGAAAGACATACTGCATAAAGCAAGGAATAAGTCAGAATGCTTGAACGTGGTGACATAGAAGACTTAATGGCCAGGAAAGGTGTCTCATTGCTGTCACTTCTTGGGAAGAAATAATTTTCATGAACCATCTCAGAGTGTAACATGTGGTTGGAATTACTAAGGTGGGGACTCAGGGAAGTTGGTCTTAGTGCATATTCAGGAGAAAGGAGAGAATTTTAAGTTATGTAGGAAGCTTTCCTTCCAGCACCTTTTCTGTTTAAGTGAAGGCTTCTTAACTGGATGTCCTGTTGGGGAGAATTTAGGATTTTATAAAGAGAAATGACAAGCAGTTATGTAGGTTTGTCTCTGCAGCAGTCTCTGCAGCAGAATCCACAGCAGTGTGGATTCTGGGGAGCTGGGGAGGAAAGACATCATTTCAACAACTCTTCTTAATACAAATATTAAGTGAGTTAGGACATAGTACCCTAGGGAAAATTTTGTGTCAATTTAATAGGAGCTTTTGGGGCTAGACTTTGTTTCACAAATCTTGGTTAGTACAGGTAGCTATTGAATTAGAAAGTGAGTAACTTTGAGAGGGAAGGGATTGAGACTCACTTCACACTCTTTCCCTACTGAGATATCATGTTGCCAGACTCTTTCTCATTCCTTGAGATGGTTTTAACCCATCTGAAGTCTACTGATGGTAAAGGTCACCTAGCACTTAAGTGAGTATGTATGCATTTATAGATCTAGGAATCCATGCAATTATCACCTCTGTGTATGTCAGGGTTTATATCTAGTATGACCCCAAAGATTTGTGTGTTCAGAGGTGGGCTTTTAGGAGTTATTGGATTATGGGGGTGCTATACTCATCAGTAGATTGATCCACTGATGAATTCATAGCTAAACATGCTGTTAGAAGGTGGGGCTGAACAGTTTGTCAATGGGGTTGTGCCTTTGGAGCATGTACTTCCCTCCGTGGCTCCTCCCTGTCTCTTTCCTTTCTGGATGCCATAAAGTGAGAAGCTTTGCACTGTTATGCCCTTCGACCATAGTGTTTCTGCCTTGGAGTATGGAACATGGACTGAATGCCTCAGACCGTGAGCCACATTAAACCTCCCCTCCTTTAAGTTACAAGGATGGAGTGTCTGGTATTTTGTTTCAGGGAAGGAAAATTGACTATTGAAATATACAGTAGGTCTTTATGTATCTGTCCATGTATCTATTTATGTAGCTATATAGCTATGAATCTATCTATCTATGGATCTATTTATGTATGTGGCTGCAGGAGGTCTGGGCTTGTGAATGCAGGCTCAGTACAAGCCTTATATATTTGTGGTCTCCCCAAGTCCAGCTGTTCTGGCAGAGTGTCATGCTAGGAAAAGTGTCTGCACCTATGTGTGGTTAAACTAAGGTGCTATAACTTCAAGGTTCAGCTGTGGGGCATGACTGTGTCTGAGGCCAGGAAACCATGACTGCTAGATGGGCATCCACTGGGTATGGTGGCCTCAGAAGGCTGGTGCTGGGTCCCATCTGCATAACTTGGGTTTTCCTCTGCAGGCTTCTTTGGGGCTAAGCAGTTGCACATTGAGTTCCTGGCACTGAGATATCAAATGTACAGAAGCTTTCAAGGATATTATGGGATTTCTGATAGATAGAAGTGGTAGGGGTCAAGTAATAAATTAGGAAAATAAAAGGAATGCCACCTTTGTTGTCTTCCAGGCTGATAAAATGACTTCAATGGTTACAAGGCATTCAGCCACATTTTTGCCTGATTTCTCCTGCTGTGAGTCACCTGGTGGTAAGTGAATCTTCTTTTTTGTTTTCTTGCTATGAAAACTCTGGCTACAATCTGTTTATAATCATATTATTATTATTTCTTGAAAAGCATTTAAGATAATTGTTTAGAATAATTCATTCTGAAGAGATGAGCCTATAAGTTGTTTGTTTTCTTTTGGCATTTCCACAGTATGCTATGTTTCATTCTCTTAATGTGCTAAGATATTTTCATCCTTCCTGAGTAGTTGATACACAAAAGTCTGAGGTTTAATCTTAAATCAATGTAAATGCTGTTGTTGCTGTTTTGGTAGCTACCTTCAGAATTAGCTTTTGTATAGTCTGTTTTTCTCTGCTGTAACAAATTACCTGAGGTAGTCAGCTTATCAAGAGATAAGATTTATTTTGGTTCATAGTTTTGGGTGTTCTAGTCTGCAATAGGATTTATTACTTTGTAGGCCTTGATCAGGCTTTGGTATATTGTAGTAGGAGTGTGTGGTGTGTGGTGTAACAGAGCCATTCACATCATGGCCAGGAAGTGAAAGACAGAAAAAGGAAGAGGCTCACGTTCTATATGCACTTCAAGGACATCTCCTCAGAGACCTTGTGTTAAGGTCTGTATGTTAAAGGTTCTACCGCCTCCCAGTGGTGCCCCCATGAGGAGCAGCCCACATGGGCCTTGTGGGGACATTCCACATCCAAACTGTAGAAATTTTATATAGTCAAGTGCCATCATAACATATTTAAATGAAAAAGAAAAATAAAGAAGACTTCTGGGAAGATGGCGGAGTGATGAGCAGCAAGAAAGAGCCTTTCCGAGATTTGGTGTCCAAATAGTGGAATGCAGCAACTTGAGGAAGAGAAGAAGGAGGAAAGTGGATCCCCAGGACCTGACGTGAGAACTGAGGCCCATGGGGAGAGCAAAAAGAGAATCTTCAGTGAAGAAGGAAGAGGCAGGTGGCTCTTTCTCCTTGAGTCCAGACTCACTTTGTTTGAGGGGTGGCTTGAAACTAGAGATGCATGGTGACCACTGGTGACCCCAGAGGCCTTCATGGAGAAGGGCGCCAGTGGAACAAAGCAGTGCATGCAGCAGACTGCAGTGGATGCAGTGGACTGTGGTGGATGGTGAGCTGTCCAGTTTGGACCTCCCTCAAGAGCAGGGGTTGGATAGGGGCCATCTTAAAGAGAGGCCGACTGAGTTTGAGCAGCACTGCTCCACTTAGTGGCTCCCAGTTGAGTTCAAATCTGCAGTGGGCAGTGGGACTGCAGCAGGCTGGGCGGGTCTGGTTTCAGCTTCACGGCCTGAGGCCAGCCTGAACGTCAGTGGAAATAGGGGTGCAGGCTGGTTGGGATCATCCTCTACCCCACATGCAGCCAAAGCTGCGTTGCTGGGATTGACTGACACAGATCTGAACTCTGTCTCTTCCCTCTGTATGCCAGTGGCAGCAGTGACACAACTTGTAGTGGACACATTTTGTTTTCTTTTTTTTTCTTTATTTTTCCCCCCTCTCTTTTTTTTGGTTTATTTTTTTCTTTATTATTTGTTCTTGTTTTTCTAGGAATGTAAACATAATTTCTAGGGTTTTTTGTTGTTCTGTTCTTGCTTTTGTTTACTTCTTTTTTTTTTCTCCTGTCTTCTGCACCAGTTTCCCAAAGTGTATGTGATCCTCCTTTATCCTCCAGTCTTACATCTAATGTCTTCCTTTTCTTCTGTTTCTCTATTTTTTACCCTAACCTCTTTTAAATTTTTTCCCCTGAGGGTAAAATTGCCATATTGATGGTTTATTTACTGCATACAATTTTCTGGTTCATTTCAGATTTTGTTATATAACCACAAATGTAGTTCATATGGTTAATGATGGCAATTAATAGTTATCTCTCTTAGTCATTTTCTAAGCTGTGTTTGATGCTACTGTTACTGCTTATTGTATCACTTTAACCAAAGTGACATAATTTTTCTAACCAGTTGTTATTCCTGGTATACCAAGACTGAGATTGCCTAAGGGTCTAAAAAATACTGTAGGCCAGTACCAAAGAACCAGCAGCTGGGCTGAGTAGGCACAACTTCTCATCCTCAATAAATTGAAGAGGCAGGCTCTTGCAATAGATTCAAAACCCACAAGCCAGCTGCACCTGGAAGACACCTCTGAGAAGTAATCATTTCCTAAAAGTTCCAAATATTAGCAATAAAGCTTCTCACCATAGGCAATTTACAAACATCAACCCAGTAAGTAAACTAAAAAAATACAAAATGAAAAGACATTTAAAAATATGCAACCCCAGACATCTAGCTCAAAGGCAAACCCAGGGGGCAAAAGGTGGAACAATCCAAAATCTACCCATCTGGACTCTTTGAAGTGGTAACAAGAGGAGTAACTAAGCAGAAGACAGAGACTCTAGAAAAAATCAAATCAGAAATAATTTCTCAGATAACTACAGCAATGATGACCATAATAAAAGACATGCCTAGTGTCATGGCAGAAAACTTCCCAAGCAGGGAAAAAGAATTTGACATATAGATAATGAGGCATATAAAACTTTAATTACCCATGATGAAAAAATCTACAGCAAGGCATATAACAGTCAAGACTCCAGAAATTCAACACATGAACAGAATATTAAAAGCTGTTAGAGAAAAAAAAAAACAAATCACCTGTAGCAGAAAGCCCATCAGAATCATGGCAGACTTCTCAACACAAACCCTCAAGTCAAGGAGAGCTTCGAGTGAAGTATTTGAAGCCCTAAAAGAAAACAACCACCATCTCAGGTTAATGAACGCCACAAAACAATCTTTCAAAACTGGTAGAGAAATACGATACTTCCATGACATAGAACATCTGAGGAAATTCATGAACACCAAACCAGTATTCCAGAATATTCTGAAGGATATTCTAGAAAGAGAATGAACCCCAACAGAACTGAATCCACCAGGTAAGGGAAACCATTCAACAGAGGGAGGAAAAAGGGAGCCAACAACAGAAAAATAACATGACAAGGACAAGTCAGTACATATCAGTTATAACCATCAATGTTAATGGTCTCAATTCATCAATCAAAAGAAATAGACTGGCAGAATGGATCAAGAAGTAAGATCCAGCAATATGCTGCATACAAGAAATATATTTAATTCAAGAAGAAATTCATAGACTGAAAGTCAAAGGATGGAAAACAATACTCCACACAACAGGAACCCAGAAAAAAGCAGAGGTAGCTATTCTACTTGCAGACAAAGTGGATTTAAAACCAAGACTGATTAAGAGAAACAAAGAAGATCACCATATCCTTATAAAGGGAACAATCCAAGAGGAAGAGATAAAAATCATAAATGTATATGCAGTAAATACCAATACAACCAACTACATAAAACAAATATTAACAAACATGAAAAATCAAATATCATGTAATGGGGAACGTTAGTACCCCACTGTCATAAATAAGTAGGTGAACTAGACAAAAAAATCAACAATGAAATATTAGAACTGAACCAAATCTCTGAATGAATGGACTTAGTAGATGCCTACAGAGTGCTCCACCCCACATCAGAATATACATTTTTTTTCAGCTGCACAGGGGACAGTCTCCAAAATAATTTACATACTAGCTCACAAACATAATATGCTTATGTAAATACAAAAGAGTTGAAATTATCCCATTCATATTATCTGACCTTAGTGTAATGAATTTGGAAATCAATGGCAAAAGAAAACACAAGAAATTCATAAATACATGGAAATTAACACCCTCCTGAACAACCAGTGGGTCACTGGTGAAATGAAAGAAGATAGTTTCTACAATTCAATGATAACACCAATACAATATACCAGACCTTATGGGACATAGTGAAAGCAGTCCTACAGGGGATACTTGTAGCGGTGAACACCCATAGTAGGAAAACAGAGTGAGCTCAAATAAAGAACTTAATGTTGAATCCGAGCTTCAAGAAGAAGAGCAAGTCAAGCCAGAAGTTCTTAGCAGAGAGGAAATTATTAAGTTTAGAGCAGAAATTAATGCAATGGTGAATAAGAAAACAATACACAGAATCAATGAATTGAAGAGTTGATTCTCTGAAAGATTAAATAAAATTGACACACACAGCTAAATTTTATCAAAAAGGAAAGAAAATACTCAAATTCATGCAATTAGGAATGAAAAGGATGAATAACAGATCCTGCAGAAATCCTGAAAATCATTTATACTTACATAGTAGTAAGATGGAAAATGCTGAATGGACAGTTTCCTAGGAACATAAGAGTTAAAAGCTGAATAAAAAAGATGTAAAGATTCTAAATAACTCAACAGTGTAGACTGCGTAACCACTGTTGAAATCAGTGGAGAGATTCTTCCAAAAACAAGGACTAGATGTTCCATTTGACCCAGCTATTCCTCTTCTTGGTATCTTCCTGAAAGTATCAAAGTGATCATACCACAGCAATATATGCAGAGGGAGTAAAAAGGGAGCTAACAATAGCAATGTTTATAACAACACAGTTTATAGTGGCTAAATTTTGGAAACAGTCCAAATGCCAATCAACTGATGAATGGCTAAAGAAGTTTGTTTTTTTATACAGTGGAGTACTATTGTGCCATAAAGAAGGATAAACTTGAGACATTTTTAGGTAAATGGATGCACCTTGAGGACATACTCTTAAGTGAAATAAATCAGACACACATATGTAAATATCGCATTGTCTCTCTGGTGTGAGAAACCAAAGGGGTAAATAAGAGCCTAATGTATAAAAGATATTGTGAAATAGGTAGAAAATATTCAAATGGGAAGGGGGCCTAGGCATAGGGGAGGGGAAAGGAAGGAAAGGAAAAGAAAAAAATGGTGAGAAAAGAAGGAAAAAAAGGAAATAAAGCTTTTGTAAATAAGGAGGGAAAGGGGGTTAAAGGGAGAGTAGGGGAATCGGGAAAAAGTATAGAAATTCCCTATGATGAATGTGATCATTACATATACCTAAAGTGTACCAATAAAAGTAATTAGGTTTTTGAATTTTTTTATTTTAAAGAGAATAGTAAAAAGAA